CTCTCTCTTTCTCTCTGTCAGGTGGAGTTTGGTCTGAATGCAGAAGCTCAGAAGTTTCTGTGTAAGAGCGGCGAGGCTCTGGCAGAGGCCATTAATGCTTTCACGTTGGACATGAACACCCTGGTCAACAAAACCATCGAGGACACTATGATCAACGCCAAGAAGTACGACGCTGCCAGGTGGGTGGAAAACACACTTTCTGTTTCCTGTCAGCTGGGTGGTCAGCCAGGTGTTACCCAATCAGCAGCGTTTTATCATTCAACAGTCAAACAGCAGAGAAGACACAGAAAGACTAATATCTGCACCAACAGGATCAGGAAATAATCCAGAGTTTGGGCTCAGAAAGCATAGAAATGCCTTCTGGGAAATGTAGGAAAACCACAATCTCTAGTTGACAAGGGAGGACGTGCAGGTCACAAACAAGAGATTTGTTTCCAATTTCCATTATTCATCCCATTTGACATGAACGCAGCATGATGGACGACATTGGAAGGCATTCTGGGAAATGTAGGAAACCATAATAAAAGCAGAAATCACTTCCACTACTTGTTTCCCTGACTTTTTGCTGTCAGCTGTAGATCTGTGGTATTGCTACCGAGCCCCAAGAAAACAATAATAATATTTGTGCAGTAATTATCTGTTGGTGTTCATTTCAGTTATGAAACCATAAGAATATTGTCACTATGAGGGAACCTCTGCTGTAGATGACTGTGTAAATTCCTCCCAGGATCGAGTACGATGCGTACCGAGTCGACCTGGAGGAGCTGAACCTCGGGCCCCGGGACGCCGTCACCCTGCCCAAACTAGAGCAGGCCCAGAAAGACTTTCAGAGCCAGCGGGAGAAGTACGAGAAGATCAGAGACGACCTGTCCGTCAAAGTCAAGCTGCTGGAGGAGAACAAGGTAAGAGATTCTTGGAAACACGTCTTCTTCAAGTGTAAAGTCTTTAGTTTGTGTATTTGGCTTTGTTTTAGGCATTTTATGCTTTTATTAGAGACAAGAGCCTGCAAGGAGAAGCCATCGTCAAAATCTAAATAAAATCTGGTTAGGAGTTGATGAATCCTTCATTGTCGCTTTCTGTCCACAGGTCAAAGTCCTCCATAACCAGTTGTGGCTGCTTCACGGCGCCGTTGCTGCTCACAGTTTATCGTGTCACAGCTTTCTGGAGAAAAACATGCGTCAGGCCAGCGAACACCTCAACAACGCCAGCGTGGACGACCCCTCCTGGCTGGAGGAAAGTTGACACAACAACCAAACCTGGTCACATGGCAGGTGGACAGATGTGGGTTTGGATTGAAAAAAGATGTTTTGGGATAAATGGACACTATTGTGGCAAAAGTTAGGGAGAGAGATTGTTTTGGGATTTTTGGACTAGAAATGTTAGGACAGATGTGAAATTTGGGATAGTCAGTCCAGTGGGTAGGTAGTCTATTTATACCAGAGTGTAACTGGAGTTTGTGGGTTTCATTTCCAGCATCTGGAAAACTAAATGTTTGCACCAGAAACAGGGAATTAGATAGTTTAGAGGGAAAATTATTTTGGATATACTTAATATACCTCCTGCAGGTCTGAAAAGGCTTCAAGGAGGTGGAATTTCATCACTTTCCAGGTCTCAAAGTGTTGTGAAACTGCATGTAAAGGCTTAGAAAGTGTTATTCTGAACAAAAATTGAGGACAAAAGAATCTCTTTACTATACACAGACTTGTGACTTCTGACCTGTTTAACAGAGGCACACACATGTACCCCTCCTGGTTTTCTTGCCTCTGTCTCAGTGTGTTGGGGAGTAAATCCATCTAATCCTCTGTGAGGCACTAAGCCTTTCTTTGAACTTTAAAAATCCTCAGCCACTGCAGTCGGGAACAAAAAAGTGCCTTAACTCCACTTCAGGAAAACAGCTTCACTGTCCGCAGAGGTTGGTTTGATCCACAACTCTGACCTTAAGATAGTTCTGTTTTGGATATGGGTCCAGGTTGGTAGCAGCTTCTCATTTGGAGCCGGCGCTGACCATCACTTCTGCCGGTTAAAATAACATGTTGCTGGCAGCAGATCACATTCAGCTAAAGTTAATACAAGTTATTTGGTAAAAGGCCAAAATCAAACTTCTCTGGTTAATGTGTCCTGTGCCAAAGATTATTGGTGAGGTAAAAGATGTTTTTGCATCACCACTCTATGATTACAAGAGGACCAGACTATGTCCAAGACTAGAGTGATAAATCTACAGAAACAAACTTTATTACATCATATCAGTCATTTATTCTCAGCAACTTAATCGGGACCACCAGTGTTTGGATCAAGTAGCTTGTAAAAAATCAGGTGAAAGTGACAGATGATGGATGGCCACCCATAAAGTTAACTTACCAGCTACATAGTTTTAGTAGCACTGGTCTGGTTGGCTGTTGGTCATTTCACTCACTGGTTTACATGGCAGGAAGCTCAGCAGCCTTCAGAGACCAATTTGAATAGTAATAACGAACCAAAAACTGTCACTATACGTCGACGATTATGCCTCGTTCATAGGTGAAGAAAAGTTAGTTGCCCCCAATATTTCAGGCAATACTTCATCAGTAGACATGATTTAGGTGTTCATTAACTGTCTCTTCTATCTAATAATGTGATATTATTAGTCTTAAAGCCCCTTTTAAAAGTTTAAACCTCAACCACAACAATTTTTTTTAACTCAAACTTAAATTGCGTCCACATGCCACAGTGGTTGGTACTTCTCAATGCACTCCAGTTACATTCCAGTTCATAGACCGCTAATATATTCATTTTATCAGAGAGTTTCACAGTAAGAAACCACTTAATTATCTATCGTACAGACCGATATCCGGGCCAAAACTTCCTCTGCAGTCTGATCAGGAACTTAACACACAAGAATGACAAGAAAGACACATTTATGGCTAATTCTGTAAACAGCATTGATTAAAAAAAAAAAAAAAAAAAAGCTAAACACAATTGGATCAGACGATGCCGATCAGCTCAGAGATTTCTTTTACTAGCCAATACATTCACCATCTTTTGTTCTCCACACAGACTGTTTACCTGCAGGCAACCAAAGCTCGCTCAGGCGTGAAAGTACTCGCACTACAAACTGAAACCAGAATGCTTTCGATGCCAAAATCTTTGTCGTTTTTCTACAGATTCTGCATTCATGTGCAGATATCTGTCTATAGAGATTAATTTTTCAAAATAAAGTCGCTTGTTGCTGTTAATTTTTTTGTTTATTGGTAATAAAAAGGCCACTGACATCCTTCATCAGCAGCCAAATAAATAATGTTTGTCGTCCTCCCAATAAAAGGCTTCATTATTATGAGCCATCGTTCATGTTTAAGCAATTTTGCCAAAAGAAATTTTAGTTTTTGAATCATTATATCCCATTTAGCTGAACATACTAAATAAATGTGTCGCATTTGTGTATTTTTTGTCTTCTGATTGAGACCAAAACTCTCATCCTGTTCACTATTTGGTGGACAAAATAACAGAAACACTTTGACTTTGATGCAAAACGACGTAACAGCCGGACCTTTTGATTGTGTTGATTTGCTTCATAATGTCAAACTGTTGTTATTTTATCCACCTGCTGAATGTCCTTGCACTCTTTGCACTCAAAGCGTAATCTGCCTTTAAATATTTCCTGTGATACAATATGTGAATTTACTCCTTTCTGACTTGTTTTTGTTTATGTGTGAATGTGTTTGTGTCACTGTACCTCGGGCCTGACAACAACATCATCTATGCAATGACTGTAGATGCTTTTCTCCGAAACCTCACCTTTAAAAAAAGAATATATGTACACTGCTAATGTCTCATCTGAGTTCAGTGTTGCCTTAAAGGGAAATTCCACTCAATCTAAAAATGAAGGAACGGTGGTTCCTGTGATGTGTTCAAGGTCAAGGACAGGGTTTTACTTTAAACTGTACCAACAATCTGTTTTTGATCGTTTGTTGGTTTGATATAATTATGAGGATTTTGAATCGGAAAGTTCATTTTTGACCTTGGAAATGGTACTCAAGGAACTTACTTACTAGCTTTTCCCCCAGACTTTCAACTGCAAATAGAAAAACTTTATTAATTATAAGAAAAAAAGAAAAGAGCCAGTAAGTCGATGGAGTTAAACTCACTAAGGAAGACCAGGAGATGAGGTTGAAAGCCCTGGAAGATAGGTAGTGAGTTGTTTTCTAAATAATTATGTCATTTTGAACTTTTTGTGATCAAGAGAGAACTAAAAAGAGAAATAATTACATATACTGTCTATTTCATATCGTACATCACAGTAAAAATTATGGTTGATTTTTAAATTTTGTGCTATTTCCCTTTTCCCCGTTTGTTTTCCACCACTGTTAGACAAAAAGTAAAAGCAGCAGCAGTGCCGTTTGTGTGAGTCACTGTGGAGGGAAAGTTTGGGGGATGATGAGTGATGATGAGGGGTTTTCAGTGTTGGCCTTTCTCCAGCGGACTGATCCTCATCCTCGTAATAACAAACGTTTGAGGAAATCCTCTCAGAAGTGAACCGCTGACCCTGAAAAACACCCCGCAGTCCTTTTCTGTCAGACCAAAGTTTAAATGGGAATTTAGTCATTTTTATTTGAATTATAAGGACCAAAATGTATATATAACAAATAAATTGTTTTTTATGTTGAAATGTATCTTACGTATTAAAGCTGCCAAATAAATCTATCGAAAGCAAAAATACGACTTTTTTTTTGTGGGGAAAAAAGTGAATTTCTGGTTTATATTAGTCATAATCAAACTTTATGCATAATTCTAAGATTATTAACTGTAATTATTATTATCAGCTTTGGTTTCATGTGAGTGTTAAAACCTTCAGATTTCAGGTGTTTTCCACAACACACAGTTTGGGTTTCACTTTCACAATGTTGGAAAGGAACAAGAGGTTCAGATCTTAAGACAAAGCTTTGTTTCTTGGATCTATAATGTTCTGTTAAGTTTCCTTTTAAATAAAGATCTGCAGGATATTATTCAACATATATGGAGAAGATTCCTGTGGACGAATGCTCATAAATAAACATTAACTGAAGCCAAAGAAAAAAAATACTAATTAATAAAGTTTCTTTACATGAAACCTACAAAGAGAAGTTAAGTACTGTAAATGTAAAGTTCTGGATAAAATCAAATTTATTTAATATAAACAACCAGAAAATAATGTTATTTATTGTTAACGTTAAGTTGAACAGAAAAGGAATTTCGTCTATATTCGGTGCAAAACAAAAACAAAGTAATGAGACAAATATAAATACAAGAAGAAAAAAGACAAATATTTTTTTTTAAAAAATTATATTCGGTTTTCCATCATATTCTATCGACCAAATTGGTGACTTATATTTGAGTTCAAGCAAACTTCATCTGATTGTTCCCAAATGTAAAAAAAATCTGTTTTTGTTCATAATCAATAGCAAACATCCTAGTAAATCCAAGAAATAACAATGCTAGACTAAGATATTATGCAGTAAACACCAGTTCTTCTGATAATTTCACATGTTATCTTCTTTGCGATGTTAAAATCTCCATTTTTGCCTTAACCTCAAAACAACCACTGAATACGTCTGTGTTCCATCACTCACAGAACTGGGACTTTGTGTGTGTGTGCGTGTGGATCTGTCTATAAAGTGTAGTGATTCAGAATAAGATCTGGTCTGTTTGGTTGGTTTGTGCTCTGATTGCTTTAAAGAGCAGCAATTATTCACCAGCACAAGACAACGCAAACACGACTCCATCGTGGTGTCCTGTGTGTGTTGTGTGGTGGGTGTGGTCGTTGGTGTGTGTGTGTCGTGTGTGTGTCGTGCTGCTGTCTGCATCAGCGCTCATTTTCCCAAACATTTCAACAGCAGAATAAAAGTTCTCACAAAAAGACTCTCCTCTCCGTCTCTCTCTCTCTTTTCTTTCTGGGTAGTCCACTCTCTTATTTTTTAAGCGGTTATGCTTTGGACCCAAATGCAAGTGATGGAAAGTGTTGAATTAACTTGTTGTTCCTGACTGTATATAACTAATCAAGAACTGCATGTGTAGGCAAGAGGTCAGATGAGACTTAAAACCCATGTGTTTGTATTTGTGTCGGTGTCACACCTAGGGTACATTCACATTTTTCCTGCGTTTTAACCTGCTAGATTGAACCCGATTTGTAAAAAGTGGAAAGTGTTGATTCAGCTTTGTTGTCTGTGACTGTAAAACCTCTCAGCAACGTTACTAAATGGCGAGGTCAGATGAGACTAAAGCGAAGGTTTAGTACTTAAGCCAGGGTAATTCACCTTTTTGGCTTTTTTAAACTGCTCTCCCCACTTACGACAGTTTTTTGGGGGAGGCAGAAATGTGAATATTGTGTGATGAATGATCACCTTCAGATTATTTGCTTATATCTATTAATGTTGTTTTTAGGCAGCGTAAGGAGGCAGATTCACGCTGACAAATGTGACGATGAGTGTGTGTGTGTGTGTGAAAGAGGGAAGCCTGACTGTTTGGTTTTTTTGCCAAAGGTGGGGGCTTGGTTGAGCTATCTGTGTGTACACACACAACACACACCACACAGACAGGTCCTTCTCCTTTTAATGCAACCTTATAAATCATGATCATCGGGATATGATTAACACATGGTGTTGTTGTGTGTGTTGATCGGTTGTATTCTGGCAGCGTGGGCTTGACAAGAGAAACACCATTCCTTTCCACCTTGAGTGATCACTGCTATGAGCAAACTGGCCTGGGGTCCTCCACCTCTCTCCCTCTCTCTCTCTCTCGTTCTCCTCTCTCTCTCCTCTCTCTCTCTCCTCCCTCCCTCTCTCTCTCCCAGCCGGTGTCAGTGTGTCGGTCGGCTGCTCAGCGCGCGCTGCCTGTGGATGCGAGCCGGAGCCAAACTGGATCAGTAAATCTAGTTTGGTTGTAAAATTGGACGTTTTCAAACGGAGGTTCTGCACAGGAGCGTCCGCGCCGCCGGTTCCGTTCTCTCCGGTGAGTTTTGGTGTAATTTACAACCGATTCCTTATTCTGTTCTCAGCTCTGTTGATTTCACTGTGACAGTCGGTTCATTTCAGCACTGATCGGAATTACCTCCGCAGGCTAACGAGCTATTAAACACGGTGACACTTCACACCAACCAGACTACATTCACATTTTCACCGTTTTTTGGATTAAGCCTACAAGCAGCCTTTGTTATATTCCAATAGTGGTTTGTATTGTAGTGTCAGATCTTTACAGTATTTCGGCAGTTTGTGTGGCACTTAAACTGACTTTAATGTGTTAAATGTTGTGTGTAATATTCCTGATATTAGTTTAATGTATCATACTGAGCTTTTATTGGTCTGATGACACTTTCAGATCATTTTACTATTATTATGTCTCTGTTATATTTCCAGAATATTCCTCCAGTTAGTTTTTGATGTTTTATACTGAATAGTGAGTTTATTTATTTTGGCTCTGTGGTGTTTAATGGGGTTATTGTGTATCTGGGCTGTATCAATATGTATTCATGAAGCTATAGATTCAGCTGTTTGCTCTCCTGTTGAGTTCTTACAATATCCATACTATTTATTTAAGTTTATTTATGGTGCTTTATCTTCATCTACTATCTCTATAATATTCTTTAAATGATTTGTTTCACATCTTTGGTGTTTATTAGAGCTGTAATTGCCTTTTCTGTCCCTCTGCTGCAGTAATAATGTAATATTCACATATTGATTATTACAGTGTGTCTGTGGGGTTTCTCTAATATTCCTGTAGTTATCTGCTTCTAAAACACTTTATATTTATATATATATATATATATATATATATAACCTATAGTGTGCTTGTGGTGCTCAGCACTGTATTTATAGTCACTCTATCACTCTATAAAGTGCTTTATATCCTCTCAGTAATGACATTTAATGAGTATTTGTGATGCTTATTGGTGGTTTTCCACTGTAGCGTCACTATAATGGAAAAAATAAAACGATT